CACACTCATGCTGGAAACAAGTTCATTTGTGTGGTGATGTATTATTTCACCAAGTGGTCTGAAGCATATGCAATACCAAATCAGGAAGCTATAACTGTAGCTTCGGCTATTAGTGATTTCTTCTTCAGATTTGGTATGCCATACAAACTGCATTCAGATCAATGCCGTAACATTGAATCAGCTGTGTTCGATGAATGCTGCAAGTTGTTTGACATACAAAAGACCAGGACAACGCCACTTCACCCACAGTCCGATGGGATGGTAGAAAAATTCGTCTACGTTTTCCTTCACTTCTATTAGCACTGAAATGATAAGGAATTTGAAACCTGGTTATCTTAGAAACGTTGAAATACGATAAATGAGTTATTCTTTAAATGTTAAGAAATTGTAATTGAAACACATTCAATTTATGCACAAAGTTGCACAATGGGCTATCTGTGCTGTGCCCACCACAAGTATCGATTTTTAGCGTTGTAAGCTTGCAGACTTGCCGCTGAGCCACTAGGAGTAGGGGGTATATATTTTGAAAAATTAAGTAATTGTGAATTAGATATTCTTAAAATGTTGAGACATTGTATAAAACGTGTTAAGTTGAGACAAAGTAAATCGATTTATTTCTTATAAACGTGTCCACCTATAAGAATTAGCTCAAATTTTTTAAAGGTTATGTTTTGGATAAACAAAATGGGAATTTTCAACATAAGAACGACAAACGCCAATATTCAAATATTTTTCTTTCTGTTTGCTTATGAGATAACGTCACGTATGCTTATAAGGCGGGAATATGAGAATGAGGCATAGTTCGATATTTTAAAGAATTTGGATGATGTCGGCATTTCAACATCTCAAGCTATACAAACCTGCCAAGATAACTGCATTCTTGAAGAAAACAGTTTGAACGAAACGAAGAAACTTATATTGGGGTTTTATTTGTTCATCTCAAATACAAACACATTTTCTGTCATTTCTCAATCACAAAAATCCACTTGAGTATTCTTAAGAAACAATATTTACACAAACATAACAAATTACAAAACGTAATCAACGCAACATTAAATTTTACAACAATAAAATGTAAGAATTTTACTTTTATGAAAACAATGTGTAATAGAGTCTTATACACTTCGTCCAGCTTTGAGAAACTGTATCTAAAAAACAAATCGTTCATAAAACATGTCGCCATCGTATCGACTTAAGAAATGATATACATTTTGAAAATTATGGAAAACATTTTTCTGCACTTTCTATATGGACGTATTTAGTTTTTTGTTTCAAAAAAGTGAAACTAATTTTTAAAACATATAAAAGAAATATCAAGTTCAGCAAACATTAAGTGCTTTTTTAAAAAAAATGTTTTTTTTAGAAGAAAATCACCATATTTCTTTTTCTTTCACGATTGTGAAATTTACTATCTCTATAACGTTTATAATATGAGCAACTCTAGAAGTTTCTGAAACCCAATTTTAATGTAACACAAAATTGGTTAGCTCCTTCCTAATTGAACTGTCTTCGTTTACGTTATCTTCCAAAGTAAACAGAGAAAATTACTACATATATATCTCTTTTTCTTTTATGTGTTTGAGAACAGTACTATAACGGTTAGAAAGGCGAAGGTTAACAAGGATTCTGTAGTTTTAAAAAAGTATATTTGAACAGAGTTAGAAAGGTAAAGACAGAGATGAATCTTGAGGTAGAACAAAGTGTGAGTAAGAAAGTTAAGAACGACAATTTTTGTCTCTTTGTTTGTGAATTTCACGCTCGAGGGCGATATGCGCTAGCTTTCCCTAATTTGAATAGGGACTAGAGGCCAGGCAGCTAGACAACATCATTAACCGCCAACTGTTGGGCTACCTTTTACTAAAGAAAAATGAAATCGACTATCACATTATAAAATCCCCAGAGCTGATGAAAAGGATAGCATGTTTGGAGACGGGATTTGAACCAGCGAACCACAATTTGTGAATTGAGCGTCCTAGTCACCAAGCCATCCCAAGCCTAAAGATTGACAAGAATCTTGCGGTAGAACGTAAACTCTTTGAGCAGAGTAATGTGTGTTAGAAACGTAAAGACTGACAACAATCGTGAGGTAGAATAAAATGTCTGTTTGAATTAAAAAGATAAAACTGACAATTATCTTGTTAATGGCTTATAACAATGAACTAAACAAAGTAATGTAGGTGGTTCTTCATATGGTTTGTAATAATGTTTTAAACAAAGTAATGTAGGTGGTTCTTCATATGATTTGTAACCATGTTCTAAACACAAGTGATATAGGTGGTTCTTTATATGGTTCGTATTAGTATTCTAAACATAAGTAATATAAATGTTTCTTTATATGGTTTGTAACGATATTCTAAACACAAGTAATATAGGGGTTTCTTCATATGATTTGTAACCATGTTCTAAACACAAGTAATATAGGTGGTTCTTCATATGATTTGTAACCATGTTCTAAACACAAGTGATATAGGTGGTTCTTTATATGGTTCGTATTAGTATTCTAAACATAAGTAATATAAATGTTTCTTTATATGGTTTGTAACGATATTCTAAACACAAGTAATATAGGGGTTTCTGCATTTCATTGCACTTAATTTCAAGTCAACTTCCGTGATCACAACAATATATGAGAAGTACAATGTTTAAAATATCACATTACAGTGGTTTTAATAGCCGACTCATGATACTGTTGGAAGAATACACATTTTAAAGCATGAGACTCTGTATGATGTAACTATATGACTAAACTAGAAGTATCAACCAACTAAATATGCAAAATCTAAAATTCTAAGTCACCTGAAAGTACTTATGTTGCAAACGGATACAATGATAACTATCGGTTTCTCAGACAGAAGTGACAGTTTCATAACTTTCTTCTACTGTTTTGAAAGATGATATTTTTTGTTTAGGTCCAAGAATTAGTAAGTATAAACATTCGTTCCACTAATGTTAAAAATATTGTCCAGAGAACCCGATTACTTCTCAAAACTTATTTAAAAACTCCAGCTTTTGTCGGGCAACTGAAAGAAAAAAATCGTATGACGAGACGTTCTTTTCAAACTTTTATTCATGCTACCAATACTTCTGATAAGGTAACGCCAAAGAGATAATGAGTGAGTACTTCCTTGTGTTTCTGTAGAAAGAAAGAAAAAAGGTTATTTCATAGTGCATATCGGATGTAAAGAAACGTCATAAACATTATAAATCGGCAAATCGAAAATAGATATGCTAACAGATCAGCACCATTACTTGTTTATAGATGTTAGTTCACCCTTTCGAGACGGGTCACAGGTGAAAGACCATGTCGTCTCGTTTGTTGACTCGCATTCAAAATTATATTGAACTACTGTTTCATGAATTTATCTCAATAAGTTTGATGTCAAACTGTAGATTATAATTCAAATGCTAGAACTATACATTACTCAATTTCTTAATTTAAAGGTAAATATTAAAAAAAACAGATAAACATCGATTTTTGTGTGTCACGTGGTATATTGAATGCAGCACTGGTTCATATTAGACGTTTGTGAAGTCAAAATACTAAGTCTACAGTTTCGTACGAATTAGAAACTCAAATTACAGATATTGACAAGCTAGAATATAAAATAAAAAGGTCTTATCTTTTCTGTTTGCTAAGATATAGCTCATGTAATAAATAAAAAACAGTGACACCCCGCACACCTCTTTCCATTTTTG